AAGTACTCAGTTAAAAGTATGAATATGTTTGCAGTAATGATCAACAGGAATGGTTGCTGATGAATCTCCTGTCTCTGTATCAGTTTATAATAATAATAATAATAGCTTGGTTTTATTTAGCGCCTTTCATGGGACCCTAGGTCGCTTTACAAAGAAAAACAGGAGTAAAAACAAACGACCAAAAACAAAAGGCAGTCAGACAAACAGTCAGACAGACTAAGCAACAAATCAATTAGGGGCCGAAGGCCTTGGCAAACAGGTGGGACTTGAGGGCCCTTTTGAAGACGTCAAGCGTGGGGATGTTGCAGATCTCCGCAGGGAGAGCGTTCCAGAGGGGGGGGGGTGGGCTGCCACACTGAAGGCTCGGTCCCTGAAGGCTCGCAGGTTGGTGCAGGCGATGGTGAGCAGGCCAGAGTCTGAAGACCGCAGGTTCCGGGGTGGGGCATATGGGCGGAGGAGGTCCGATAAGTACTGGGGGGCAAGGGCATAGAGGGACTTGTAGGTGAGGAGGAGGACTTTGTAGGGACTTCACCGGCAGCCAGTGGAGGTGGATGAGGGTGGGAGTGATGTGCTGCCACGGCTTTGTATGTGTGAGTACCCTAACAGCACAGTGTTGAACGTACTGGAGCCTGTCCAGGGTTTTGTTGGGGACCCCAAACAGGACACCATTGCAGTAGTCCAAGCGGGAGGTGACGAAAGCATGGACTAGGGTTTCTGCAACCGACTCCGAGAGTGACGGTCGGAGTCGTTCTTTAGATGGAAAAAGGCGGATTTGGTGACAGACTTGATGTGGGAGTGGAAGGAAAGGGTGGAGTCAAAGATGACACCCAGGTTGCGGACTTCAGGAGATGGGGAGATGGAGCAGCCGTCAACCTCAAGGATGAAGTCACCAACCTTCTGGAGCAGCGCCTTGGGGGCCACAGCCATGAGCTCTGTTTTCCTGCTGTTTGAGGTAGTTGGAGGACATCCAGGTTTTGATGTCGTGCAGGCAGTTGATGAGAGACTGAGGGGGGAGCTGGGAGGATGGAGTAGTGCTGAGATAGATTTGGGTATCATCAGCGTAGCAGTGGAAGTTGAGTCCATGATGGCAGATGATCTGACCGAGGGGGAGCATGTCAATGGTGAACATTTATTATTATTATTACTCGGTACAAAGATCTGTTCCTGCTCTCATTGGGTCCATGGTGGCTCTCTAACAGCTGCTTTCCCTGCAGGTGGAGACCACACCATTGCATACCCCATCCTGCAGGCGGTGGCTGAGAAGTAAGTCTGTCCAAATGAAAACAAAGATTTTCAGTTTTCAAAGGTTTTTACAGATCAAGAGAAGCAGTGACGCCTCAGATTCAAGAAGCTGGAACCAATGGATATGTTTGCAGGTTTAGTGAATGATCAACAGATTCATCTCCTGTTTCTGTTTCAGTTTATTACTGGAGATCTTTTATTGCTATTCATCAATGCGCTGTTGCTCAACAAAATGCACGCTGTAATCTTTAATGCTTCAAACGTACAAAACATATTTACTTCATGAGCGAGTACAGAGTCCGACACACTGAGAGATATGGCTGCAACATCTTTATAGACCAAGCTGGTTGGTGGGTCTGTAAACTGAGAGAGAGCCTAAGAAGACCTCTTCAAAGATATTTAGCTTACTGTCACAGAGGGTTAGGAAATACATTTAAGAAGCTGCAATCTGAGACTTTAGACTTTTTGTTTTCCTAAATTCTATATTAAAGTGGACCTATCATGCTATATTTGAATAATATGGTGTATATATACCTATATAAGGCATATTTATACTTTTCTGTTTCAAAATACCAAACAGATCATGCATTTTAGCCATGCCTCATTTTGCTCAATTTGACAATTTCTAGCTCTGGGTAGATTCAGTGAGAACAGCACCACCTACAGGCCTGGCATATGTACTACAGCGTCTCCAGCGCTTTCGAGCGGCAATGGCCGGCCGTGGCCCAACCCCACATTCCCCTGATTGGTGGAGTTGGCCCAATAGCCGTAGCGCCACCGTCCTGACGTCAGGACAGTGTTCAAATCTGGATCAGTTTTTATCAGATCCGTTGCAGCCCCTTTTTTAGAGATTTGGGTATGGAGGAAAATAGAGAGGGTTGTGTTTTCTGACACTTGGTGAGTTCCCTGGAACACCGGGGACACATATTCATGTAGAAAAGACGTACACAAGTGCATTTTGCATGATAGGTCCCCTTTAAATGTTGAATATTGTGGTATTTCTTTTTCAGCAAATATGGAAAGATTCTCCAAAATAATGTGAAAACTGTTCAAATAATATGCGGAAAATGTTGTAAAAAACATTGTTTAAAGAAATGTACCAAAAGACTGTATAAAATAAATACATATGATAAAATGTCAGAAAATATAGAAACAAGTCTGAAATGTAGGTAACTCTGTAATACTCTGTAATACCCTGTAATACTCTGTAATACCCTGTGGTTCCCTGCAGGCACAGCCCGGTGGGTCTGGTCCACGTTGACGCTCACGCTGACACCAGTGATGTGGTTCTGGGGGAGCGGATCGGACACGGGACCCCCTTCAGACGCTGTGTGGAGGAGGGGCTGCTGGACTGCAGCCGGGTGGTGCAGATCGGCCTGCGGGGGTCCGGTTACTCCGCCGACTCCTACGCCTGGAGCCGTGCTCAGGTACCGGAGATCAATAAGATCTAGTTCTACGTACCTCTGATGAAATACACTACCTGATACAGGTACCAGCTACTTCCTGTAACACAGGGTACTGACTAACTGACTGAGGCCCAATTCCAAACCTCACCCTACCCACTCCCCCTTGCAACCCCGTAACTTTTCGTAACAATGGTTTCAAATCAGCATTTCTTGGGTTAAGAATTAAAAAAATGAACACAGAAGGTTTATCACAGGACAAGACACAGCTGGGCAGGGGAGGCAGAAACACAAAGAGACAATCAGACACAGGAGGGCAAACACAGGAAGGAAGACCAGACACAGGGAGAACAGAATTTCAAAATAAAACTGGAAACTAAACACACAAAACTAAGAATCGTGACAGGGTTAGTGTGTAGGGGGCGGTTTGGAATTGGGCCTGACTGACTGTGTGTGTGTGTGTGTGTGTGTGTGTGTGTGTAGGGTTTCCGTGTAGTGCAGGTGGAGGAGTGCTGGTTCAAGTCTCTGGCTCCCCTGATGGAGGAGGTCAGGGGTCAGATGGGAGGGGGTCCGGTGTACCTGAGTTTTGATATCGATGCTCTGGACCCCGGCTTCGCTCCGGGCACCGGGACCCCCGAGATCGCCGGGCTCACCCCCATACAGGTAGACTACTGTAACTACTGCTTACTGCTATATTACATCGGTTCTTATTTGACACTTCTATATATACTACCACTTCTACTGGATTTATAGTGGGGGGAAGAAAGGGAGAATTATGAGAGTTTTAGAACGAAGTCGGAATTTAGAGATTTTCCGAAAAAAAAAGTGAGAATTTCAGAAAAAGTGAAAATTCAGTGATTTTCGGGAAAAGTCTTTATTTTGAGATTTTTTGTAAAAAGTGATAATTGTGATTTTCAGAAAGAGCATGTTTCTCCTGTTGCTCTGCGTCCTCCCCAACGTCAAATACCTCTGATTCTAATCAATAACATCAAGTCTTCTTTAAAGATATAAAGAGGGTAACTCTGCATCAATTACAGATGTTTCATAAATAAACAGTAAGTATTGTTTACAGCCAATGAGAGGATAGATGCTCGACTGAAGATGATTCTAGTCTCATAGTCTTTGAGATGAATTATAATATCATTCTGTGCTTTATGAATGAAATATAAAGATGTAATTCAAATGTAAAAAGTATCTAATGAATGTGCAATATTTAAATAAAACACTATATCAATGGAGTTACAGTTTAATAAATACTAATAATACACTGAGTTTCATGTGTGGGTCACTGCCCTCATCCTTTGACTTCTGTTTCATCATTTCCATTGACTGGGCTCTGGTTTCAGACGGAGGGTGAAAAGAGGAGCTGCAGCTCAGGCAGTATGAGAAACATAACGTGCTGTTACGTCGAGACAACAACCAATAACATCGAGAGAGTCACCGTGAAGGTGTTTTTATTTACACCAAAACAATAACGCCAACAACTGACAACTTAAAGGTGGGGTAGGTAAGTTTGAGAAACCGGCTGGAGATACACTTGTTATATTCCATGAAATGCTCTTAACATCCCGATAGCAATGAATATCTGAAGTGCTTTGACAACAAATCCATAAAGAAATATCATCAGTGGAAGCTGTAGTACTGTAAAAAGCACGACCAATCATCTGAGCCGGCCCGGCTAAAATAACTGGATGGCCTACCTGCCTGTCAGCCTTCCATCTGTGCACAAACTTATCTGGTGCCCTCATTGGTCATGTGCGCGTTTGTGTGTGTTGGAGGAGGGGCTCTGTAAGGAAGTGGCAGATTGTGTATTTTCAAATCCTAGCGCACTCGAGCCGGTTTCTCCAAAATGACCTACCCCACCTTTAAGTGAATAAATATAACAGAAAGACCAATCTCTAAATCTTCTCTCTGAAACACACCTCAAACAAAAAGCCCCCCCTCACTATCTGGTCTACTAACAAGGAAACAAAACAGATACAGGGGGGGGGGGGCTTCAATCTACTAACCTAGTGTGTCTAACACAGTTGACCTAGGATGTAGAGGGTACCCCAAACCTACCCTACCTTCTCCTCTCAGATGTGTGCTTCCTGCAAGTCTCTGGTTTCCTCTCCCCCCCACTAATCACAAAGTCCAGTCTGATGCTCCCCATGATCTTTAGTGTCTATTTAAATAACCATGTTCTATTCTGAGTCTCGTCAGGACCGCCTCATCTCGACTCCTTCCTGGATGAATATCGTCTCCTCCCTCTTGTCTCCCCGGTCCCATATCTGCTGCCATGTTTGAATGATTCCCCTGTAATACTCGTTCCCTCAGACCTCGATCATGTGATCATGTCTATACTTTCCTTTCCAAAGGCCCTGACACACCAGGCCGTATTCGGCCGTCTTCGGTTGTCTGGCGACAACGCGTTCCTTGTCGCCCAAAGTCAATTTGGTGTGTCCCGAACCCTCGGCCGTGACACGCCTTATTTGGCCTTTCACGGTCGACACACGGCCGATTCAACATGTTGAATCGGCCGTGTGTCGGACACAAGCTATCGGGCCAAGAAAGCACTCTGATCAGCTGTTCAGCTAGCAAATGAGAAGCGAAACGGAAGTGAGGGACGTAAACAAAGGATTGAAGAAGGCACAGGACAGCAGCTAAACCCCAGCTGGTGATACTTAAAGACATCAAACATAGCCCTTAAATGTCCTCTCTTACCTCCCACACATAGCAGGGACATCTCTGATATCGGCGGGAGCGTCCCCGGCTGTCCTCTGCTGAGAGCTCCGTGATTTGTTTGGTCAAGTTGCAGGATTAGTCTCAAGTACCTCAACATTGTCCTTAAGTCCAGTGTCTAAGTAAATGAGATCTACTGCTGTTCATTTACCTATTGTGAGTCGCCTCGGATAAAAGCATCACATGGAAATGTACATTTAGCAAGAAGTGGCCATTATGACATTACATACATTACTACATTGCTGACTCAATAAACGACACACCCTCCAGAACACTGCGATCATCAGACGCAGGTCTATTAACTGTGATGTGATAGTATGCACTTTATGTGCTCATTTCATCATTCATGTATTTTTATATTCTAAAACATGTTTTCGATGGACGAGAGTGAAAATGGAACGCACACGCTATTTGTTTGTTTATATCACATCTGATGACTTGCTGTCCATACTTGTGTGTGTGTGTGTGTGTGTGTGTGTGCATGTGTGTGTGGGTTTGTGTGTGTATGTGTGTCGCCATATTCACTGAGCTGTGATTGGTTGTTCCTCGTCACATGACCAGCAAAGTATTTAAAGAAAAATGGTCAAATCAAAAATACAAGTGGAAACAAAAGAGGAATAAATAAAAGAACGAAAAAACATCATTTGATTAATTTGTTAGAATGCTAAATATTAGGTGGAAAAACAACACCACCGCTCTAGCGAGGAAAGCCCAGCAGCGCCTGTACTTCATCCGGAAGCTCAAGCGAGCCGGAGCATCACCCCCCATCATGCTGTCCTTCTACCGAGGCGCCACCGAGAGCATCCTCAGCAGCTGCATCACGCTGTGGTTCGGAAGCTGCACCGCCGCCGACCGCAAGAGCCTGCAGCGCGTAGTGAACTCTGCCCAGAGGATCATCGGTGCCTCACTCCCCTCACTACAGGACATATACAACACCCGCCTCACTCCCCTCACTCCAGGACATATACAACACCCGCCTCACTACAGGACATATACAACACCCGCCTCACTCCCCTCACTACAGGACATATACAACACCCGCCTCACTACAGGACATATACAACACCCGCCTCACTCCCTCACTCCAGGACATATACAACACCCGCCTCACTCCAGGACATATACAACACCCGCCTCACTACAGGACATATACAACACCCGCCTCACTCCCCTCACTCCAGGACATATACAACACCCGCCTCACTCCAGGACATATACAACACCCGCCTCACTACAGGACATATACCAACACCCCGCCTCACTACAGGACATATACAACACCCGCCTCACTCCCCTCCACTCCAGGACATATACAACACCCGCCTCACTCCAGGACATATACAACACCCGCCTCACTCCCCTCACTCCAGGACATATACAACACCCGCCTCACTCCAGGACATATACAACACCCGCCTCACTCCCCTCACTCCAGGACATATACAACACCCGCCTCACTCCAGGACATATACAACACCCGCCTCACTACAGGACATATACAACACCCGCCTCACTACAGGACATATACAACACCCGCCTCACTACAGGACATATACAACACCCGCCTCACTCCCCTCACTCCAGGACATATACAACACCCGCCTCACCCGCAAAGCACTCAGCATTGAGGGTGACTCCACCCACCCCTCCAACACCCGCCTCACCCGCAAAGCACTCAGCATTGAGGGTGACTCCACCCACCCCTCCAACACCCGCCTCACCCGCAAAGCACTCAGCATTGTGGGTGACTCCACCCACCCCTCCAACACCCGCCTCACCCGCAAAGCACTCAGCATTGAGGGTGACTCCACCCACCCCTCCAACACCCGCCTCACCCGCAAAGCACTCAGCATTGTGGGTGACTCCACCCACCCCTCCAACACCCGCCTCACCCGCAAAGCACTCAGCATTGTGGGTGACTCCACCCACCCCTCCAACACCCGCCTCACCCGCAAAGCACTCAGCATTGTGGGTGACTCCACCCACCCCTCCAACACCCTCTTCAGCCTCCAGCCTTCAGGAAGAAGGTTCCTCAGCCTCAGCTCGCGCACCTCCAGGCTGAGGAACAGCTTCCTCCACCAGGCGGTCAGGATGCTGAACTCTGTCCCCTCCCTCCATCTCTTCCCCTCTCTGACATCTCTCCCCTGAACTCTCTCCCCTCCCTCCATCTCCTCCCCTCTCTGACATCTCTCCCCTGAACTCTCTCCCCTCCCTCCATCTCCTCCCCTCTCTGACATCTCTCCCCTGAACTCTCCACCCTGCCTCCATCTCTTCCGCCCCTCTGACATCTCTCCCCTGAACTCTCTCTCTCCCCTCCCTCCATCTCCTCCCCTCTCTGACATCTCTCCCCTGAACTCTCTCCCCTCCCTCCATCTCTTCCACCCTCTGACATCTCTCCCCTGAACTCTCCTCCCTCCCTCCCTCCCTCCCTCTCTCTGACATCTCTCCCCTGAACTCTCCATCCTGCCTCCCACCTTTCTCCCCTGCCCCAAATGGTCCTGGACTCTAACCCCCTAACTCACTTTTCTGCCCATCTCCGCTGCTACTGCACTGAAACTGTACTTTGAACACTTAAATTATATTATTAACATTTTAAACTGTATACCCCGGTTATCTAGGCCCTTTGTTTTGTTTAATGTATACCATGTTTATCTAGGCCCTTTGTTTTGTTTGATGTATATATGTCACACTGTAGGACTGAGGGAAACGATATTTCGATATTTCTGGATGTACAACATGTAGAATTATTGACAATAAAGCTGACTTTGACTTTGAATAATTTAAAAATACAAATCAATGTTTAAATACTAAAATTAGAAAATAAATAAATAATATATGTGGAAATGTAAACATTAGTAATTAAAGAAAACAATAATGTGAAAATACATACAGGAATAAATGAAGAGAAAGTTCCTCCCTCTGCCACCAGAGGGCGACACATCCCCTCGTTTTGAAGTGCTTCCTGTTTGCTGTTAAGTTTCACTTCGTGCTCCTCGTGTCGCACCTTCTGCTTCTCTCTAAAGGTTTGTAACTCTTTGTGACTTTAGAGCTTTTAGAGACAACTCTTATCAATCATTGCTCAGAGAATAAGAACAACTCTTTGTGACTTTAGTTACTTCAGACTTTAGAGTAAATTCAGAGACAGACTTTAACCCTCTTCCTGTTTTTACCTCAGCTGAACCTGTACACAATAACTATAATTATTATTATTATTATTATCAATCATTACTCAGATAATAACTCCACACAGAGACCCTCTATTTCATCTGATGACTTGCTGTCCATACTACTGTATCGTGTGTGTGTGTGTGTGTGTCGCCATATTCACTGAGCTGTGATTGGTTGTTCCTCGTCACATGACCAGCAAAGTATTTAAAGAAAAATGGTCAAATCAAAAATACAAGTGGAAACAAAAGAGGAATAAATGAATTATTTAAATAAATGTTGAATTATGAAGAGGAATAAATAAAAGAACGAAAAAACATAATTTGATTAATTTGTTAGAATGCTAAATATTAGGTGGAATAATTTAAAAATACAAATCAATGTTTAAATACTAAAATTAGAAAATAAATAAATAATATATGTGGAAATGTAAACATTAGTAATTAAAGAAAACAATAATGTGAAAATACATACAGGAATAAATGAAGAGAAAGTTCCTCCCTCTGCCACCAGAGGGCGACACATCCCCTCGTTTTGAAGTGCTTCCTGTTTGCTGTTAAGTTTCACTTCGTGCTCCTCGTGTCGCACCTTCTTCTTCTCTCTAAAGGTTTGTAACTCTTTGTGACTTTAGAGCTTTTAGAGACAACTCTTATCAATCATTGCTCAGAGAATAAGAACAACTCTTTGTGACTTTAGTTACTTCAGACTTTAGAGTAAATTCAGAGACAGACTTTAACCCTCTTCCTGTTTTTACCTCAGCTGAACCTGTACACAATAACTATCATTATTATTATTATTATTATTATCAATCATTACTCAGATAATAACTCCACACAGAGACCCTCTATTTCATCTGATGACTTGCTGTCCATACTACTGTGTGTGTGTGTGTGTGTGTGTGTGTGTGTGTGTGTGTGTGTGTGTGTGTGTGTGTGTGTGTGTGTGTGTGTGTGTGTGTGTGTGTGTGTGTGTGTGTGTGTGGCCATATTCACTGAGACATTTAAACATTAGTAATTAAAGAAACCCATAATGTGAAAATACATTATACAGGATTAAAGAAAGAGAAAGTTCCTCCCTCTGCCACCAGAGGGCGACACATCCCCTCAGCCTCATTCACAGGAACACTGTTTAATAAAACACATTAAAATATATAGTAAACAGAGATAGGAGTACAAGAGCATGCCATTAAACTAGATTAATAATAAAGGGTAACATTTATAAATATTGGAAACAGAAGTTGTGATACAAAGAACTGTAAAAGTAGAAAAGTATTCTCATCAAAATATAGTGAAAGTAGCGACAGTAAAAGTAGTGATTGTGCAGATTGGTCCATTTCAGAATAATATATCTGATATGTTTTATAATGATTGATCATGAAAGTGTTCTCAAAGCTGGTAAAGGTGCAGCTAGTTTGAATGACTTTGTATACTGCAGGGTAGCTTGTGGATTTACTCCAGGTGGAACTAAAGTCTGATTTAACACTTGATTATATTTCACATCATTCATCCACATCTGTGAAGTAACTAAAGGTATTTAATATATGTAGTGGAGTAGAAGTACAAAGACCTGGACCTGGACCTGGATCTGGACCTGGACCTGGACCTGGACCTGGACCTGGACCTGAGACCTGCTGTTTGTGTCAAAGAGTGACCGCTCAATGGAGCCTCAATCTGCTGATGGGGGGTAAGAATAACATCTAAAAGCGGTTTGAGATAAAGTCAGTTGTTGTCTGTGTTAAAGCTTCTCTGTGTAACCTTCAGGAAATCCTGGTTATTAGCGACGTCAGTGGGCGTTAAGTGAACTGCAGTTAGCATCCTGGGTATCGGCCCAAACCGTGACTTGACATTACAATCATATATCACATTTAGAATAACGCCACTATCTGAAACCTGTCTGTAAAACATCCATAATACTGGCCTGCTGTTTCCAGATGACTGTATCAGCTAACGTTATAAAGCAGCTATAGGCGGCGCGTGAGGCTCAGGTTTGGGAAGGCTAAAGAACTGTTTTTACCTGACGCTGCCCGCCTCCGGCGTCTATCGTTTTTGCAACCCAGTTCAGATTTAACCACGCCTACTTCCTCATTACGCAACCCGCGCCTCTCGAGCCGCATGTGGCTCTTTAAGCCCTCTGCTCTGGCTCCCTTGAGCTTAAACAGAAATAAGACGGAAATAAAATAAAAATATTTGTCGGACTATTTATATTTTGTTGCACGGTTGAAAATGTTTCGTATTTTGAGGTGATACTGTGACACATAAACATTAAAAAAAAACGGTTTTAATTAGGTCAACTAAAATATGCGTCATATCCTGCCAGCGCCTTTTCTTGCAGGCGAATAACCTGACCCCCGGCTCGATGAGCGAACTAGGGATAAATCAAAGAAAAGAAAAGTATGGGAGGAACACAGAGGGTTTAATTCTGCATGGACAGAGTTATCTGCTTTCACAGCAAACGATGCTGGCTTACCGGTATGTTTGATATGTGGAGAGAAGTTGGTGCTGCATCCTTTACGTATTGGAGGAGAAACACAGAAGAGGAAGACAGCTGACGATCTTCATCATAACTCAATCAGTTAAAGGTCCCATGTCATGGCCATTTCTACTGATCATAATTCCATAGTTGAGGTCTACTAGAATAGATTTACATTGTTCAATGTTCCAAACTCACATTGGTTTCTCATACAGCATCTCTGTAAAGTACGTGTATTCACTCTCTGTCCTAAACGGCTTGTTGGAGCTCGTGTTGGCGGGACGTTGTGCGGCTCGCTGCTGTGAGGAGCGGACAGTGTGAGCTGGGTTACTGGTGTCTTTTCCTGGTTGCTGCGTGGGGTCTGCGGGACGGCGGGACACGGCCTGAGACAGCGGGACGCAGCGAGGCCCGGCCCGGGCCGAGCTCGGGCCGGGCCGGGCCGAGCTGCGTCCCGCTGTCTCAGGCTGAGTCCAGGCTGAGAAATCCGTGGAGTTGCAGCTGAGAAAAATAAGGCTGAGTGTGTGTGAGGAGGTCCGGGGATTGGGCCATTTGGATCGTCGTTACGTCACTTGCAGCGACGTGCAGTCAGGGGAGGCAGGGGAGGCAGAGCCTCACCTGTCATACTCCAATGTAACGGAAAAACAACTAACGAAAAACTAAATAGTAATAATAATAAAATGTCTCCACTGATCTGTGTTGTAAGTGTGATTTCTGTTTGATTCCAATCGCTTTTTATAGTCAAAATCAGCTAATTTGCCGAGCTCCGCTACGGGAGCAATGAGAATTGAGGCAGGGACGAGCTCTGCCTCTCGTAAGCCCACAGTAACTTGCTGGAGCACGGGCACTAATTTAGCGCGGGCACTTATTTTGTGAGCGCGCTCAAGCCGGTTACTGTGGGGTGAGGTGAGGCACAGATGAGCTCTGCCTCACCTCAGAATGCGTCACCCCACAGAAACTGGCTGGAAAGCGGGCCCTAAGCGCATGCCTGTTCCCATCTCACTGTAGGTCACCAATGTAATGTTTGTAGATCCCTTTATTACATTTATCCTCGCCATCCATAGTCTCTAAATAACTTATTTCACGTATATATGATATTTAGGCTCGATATTTGGTCTCATCATACAACGGCACTGAAAAAAGCACCAGGAGAGGCAGCCATAACCTCTGCCGCACTGAAGGGGGCGCACGTGAGCCCACAGGTTCTTGTTGCTACTGTTATTCTACGCAGAGACGGTAGACGCAAACAACAAACTAGACTTTTGAAACTACAGGAAGATAAGGAGGACTTTTACAAAACAGTAATAGAGATTGTTGTCCAGAAGGATAGCATGGACTTCATCTTCAAGTCAAGGTAAGACCACAATTGTAATGAAAATGGGATCTTACTAAGAAAGAACAATCCAATATTTAGATTGTGGGTATCCTTTTGTTGAACGATCTGTTTAAAATGAATCGAAGCATCAGACTAAAAAAGCTTTTGAAAATAACCGAATATTTCGATTAAGGTCAAAATATAATATTTGTAAATCTGACTCAGTGAGTCAGTGCCTCACCAGCCATGAACCTCACCGCACGTCACTGGTCACTTGGTTCCCGGAAGAAAACAATGGAAAAAGAAAATCTCCAACGAGGCATTCTGGGGCAGCATAGACACGTCTTTTCTGTGCCAGAGTTTTACTCCCTACAGGGTGTACTTTAGGGTTTGTGACTTTGCAGACTGTTTACATGCATAGAAAGCTACATAACACACAAGGGGACGGGTAATAACCGGAAAAGCATGACATGGGACCTTTAACTCTTTTTAGGGTGCAGCTATATGTTTTATTTATTTCAAAGTGGGCCCATTTGAATTATATTCATTTTGCCGCGGCGGTCCCACGATGTTACGAAAGTCTGCCTCCCAACTTTTTCTCGTAAAAAATAATTTGACTTGTAAAAAGTACATTATCCGTACCGGATACTAATTTCAGCCGAGTTTTAGTCTCAACCCTACTTCAAATACTCGCTATTTCACTCGGGCAGCTCTTAATTTCCAACCCGTGGCTGGCTAGCTAGCTCGCTAACATGCTAAAGATTTCCCTAAAACTAACTAACGTTAAATATGAAATATGCATCAAAAATGGTGGCGACAGACCGTCTGAGACAGAGACTAACGTTAGATGATTAATTTGCATTGTCCGCATGCGTGTTACATACAATGCCGAGGCTGACGCATGTTATCAATTTAATGCAACGGATTATTCAGAGTTTACAAGTATTATTTAAAGTTGAAGTTTTTGTAACTCGTCTTAATTTGTTGTAACGGGCAGTGGGTTCACTCAGCATGATAACATTTGCCCTCAGGACTCAAGGTACTGCACTCAGATGGCTCCAGTCCTACCTCACTGAACGATCCCACTTCATCTCCCTTAGAGCCTTCTCAGTGGCAGCTCCTAGGCTGCATCTCAGGTCGATTCAATGGACTCCTTGCGTCCCTCACTTGCGTCGTTTCCCTGCCTCTAGTCCCTCCCACCAGGAAGCATGGAGAGACGCAAGGAAACCACGGGAAATGAGTTTTAAGAGCAATGGGACGTCCTTTCCTCCGGAGCGTCACGTGAAGCCACGTCCGTTTGTGATGACGCTGCACAGCTGATCGTCTGACAGCAGCTCTGTCCCCGTTGCTTTCACAAACACCCCCGCCTCTGTTAGTACACATTTACTGACACAAACATTTGTATCATCTGTTGTCGACCCAAATACATTAAATAAGAACTCATTCTCAAAAAAGATAAACGCCATTCTTAAAATGTATAAACGAAAAAAGCGATCATGAAAATGTTTCCAATAAATGAATAAAATGATTTTTGTCCACTTAGTTGTTCAGATATATCACATATTAGTAACTGAATGATGCATTCATTGAAACAGAACACGGTATGAACTGAGGAGTGAGTCCCGTGAGTTTCATGTGTTTTCTTCACTCCGCTGGGAAACTGCTCTCATGTCAAGAAGCATCAGATCAGTGCGCTGCATCGTCCAATCAGTGAGCGATACACAGTAAGGGGGCGGGGCGAGTGTCTGAGGATTTCATCGGAGGATGGTCTGGTGGTTCATTTCAAACCTTTATTTAACCAGATGGTCCCATTGAGATCATAGATCTCTTTTTCAAGGGAGACCTGCACCTCGGTTATCGCTCCTCCATTATAGCTCCTCGCTCCTCCATTATAGCTCCTCGCTCCTCGCTCCTCGATCCTCGCTCCTCCATTATCGCTCCTCCATTATCGCTCCTCCATTATCGCTCCTCCATTATCGCTCCCTCGCTCCTCGCTCCTCCATTATCGCTCCTCGCTCCTCGCTCCTCGCTCCTCCATTATCGCTCCTCGCTCCTCGCTCCTCCATTATCGCTCCTCGCTCCTCGCTCCTCGCTCCTCGCTCCTCCGGCAGAAATAAGCGCCATGGGACGCTACTCAAGATGGCGCAGACAAATCAACTTCCGGTGAGACCGAGGACCGAGGAGCGAGGAAATGAAAATAGCAGACCTGAGACGCAGCCCTAGGCTCTGGAATTCCCTCCCCCAAGATCTTCGTGATTCCGAGTCCCTCACAGTCTTTCAGTCCCGCCTCAAAACCCATCTCTTCAACTCTGTCTATCCATAAGCCCCCCCCCCTCAATCAACTTCCTCTTGACTGCCTTTTCTGTTTATTTTATTTGTTATGTTTTTCGTTTTTTGTTTTTGCCTGTCCTAGTTTGTCTACCCTCCCTCATACTGTAAAGCGTCTTTGAGTTGTAGAAAAGCGCTATATAAATATAATTTATTATTATTATTATATCCATTTTCGAGGCTTCGCTGTCGTGATGTGATGATCACAAGCCGCTTGACACAAACATGCCTGCGCAGGCGCTTGCACGCCGTCAAGTGGCTGCATAGCAGCGCTAATGTCAAAGACACAAACATTATACATTATATTTTAATTCGACCAGGATGCAGTGACAACAATATTCCTAGCTTACAGTACCCACAACCCCTGGAAGCAACCAACAGCTAGCTGGCTAACCTTAGCTTAGCTTACAGTTAACATGTTGCTCTGGGCTAGTAGAAAGCAACTGTTAGTTATTTTCGATGTACTGTAAGCTAGTCAACTATCAGCTCAGGTAGTATTTTTGCTACGGTAACATTAGCGAGCTAACTGTAACTTAAATCTGCAAACAGAAAGCTCAGCACTTAACCGGCCAGATCAGACCGGAGTCTGCATGAACTCGCTGTTATCCAATAAAGACAGATGTTTTTACATTAGCTTCACACTGCTGGCTGTAGGGCAGCTGAAGAGAGGACAGGCACTTTGTAGATAAACTTCACGTCTTCACAAGTCCTTTACATAGAGAGCAGCTGATATAGGACACTCAAGAACGTTTCAGTTTTACATTTTAATTACAGTCTGTTCACACATCGGCAATCCAGATCGATTTATACTAGAGGTGTAACGGTATCCGTATTCGTCCTGAACCGTCACGGTTCATGCAGTCACACGACGAATACGCCTTTTTTTATGAGTGGGAAAAAAGTCTGTCACTCAGGGCAGTATCCATTACACTATATATAATCCAGGGGGCGGTATTGCGCCTACAAGCTGTTTGCCAGCCGCCCTTAAATAACAAATGAAGAACAAGAAGAAAACACAAGAAAACGAACAAAATACAAGAAGAAGAAAAATGAATATGGCGATTTCAGATAACACACAGGAGCTAGAACCCACCTGCTTCTTTGAAATCAGCTGTGTGGGAACATTTCTGGTTCCCTGTGGACTCCAATAACGAGCCAATAGACATGAAAGCCAAGAGACCAAAATAAATAACCGAAGCTATTTCCATATATAGGCTATGCGCCTTTGAAACACTGTCTTATTATTTATTTAGTAATATTTTCAAGACATTCTTTTTAGTTTTACAGCTTGATGAAAACTTTTTGTTTGACATCAGCCATTATAGATAATACGGCCATCTGAGTGTGTGTGCTACGGTTTGGGGTTTGTTTTGAACTGTGTAATACAGTTCATTATTCAAAATGTTAGAGTTCCTTATTTTTATACTGAAACTTGCACTACTGTTCAAAAATAAATAACAACAACCTTGGAATTATGCATTTGGGACTTTATTTAGCTTTTTCTTGTTGTACCGAACCGTGAATTCTGTGAACCGTGACACCCCTAATTTATACCACTACATGGTTATATAAAATGACTTTAAATTAAACGTATATTTCATCATTTTTCTCCAGCGTGCCAATGTATGCATCTGTTTCTGTTTCAGGGTCCAGCAGCAGAGACCAGACTCTCCCAGCTGTCTGTCCCTAAAGAGCGACTCCTCGAAGGACGACTTCTTAGACTTTAAAGGACGACCTCCATCTGCTGATCAGAGGTAAGCTGTAACTCATAGTAAGAGTCCGGTTATGATAGAATAAAACCAGTTTGTATAAAGTGTTGTCCGACCCCTCCTCATGTCCAAAGTGTTTAGTTGTGAACGTCCACACTGGGAGGGGCAGTGAAACTCCATCTGAAAACTCAGGCTGTCCAGAAGCTGTTCCACCATCTCACAAACACTTCTGATGGAGGAGACTGAGCCTTCATCAAAGTCACAACCAGCTCTACTGCCAGGGGAACCCTGACCCCTGCTATGGTGCTGGAGGTGGAGCTGGGGGGGGGGGGGGGGGCTGGTGTAAGAACTGTCCCTAGGTCTCTCCTTTCCTGATGAACAGCTGTTAGCCAGCTGCAGAGTCCAGTGTCTATCCACACAGCCACGTTTCAGGAAGACCAGAATGAAGGATGGACAGAATCCTCTGGTCTTCAACAGTAGCTGGAAATAAATACAGTGAAGGAAATAGTTATTTGATTCCTTGCAGATTTTGTAAGTTTGCCCTCTTACAAAGAAATTAACAGTCTATCATTTTAACGGTAGGTTTATTTTAACAGTTAGAGTTAAAGAAAGGGCCTACTTATAGACAGCCGTAACATGGGTTTCTTCCCGGACATGTACAGAGTGCCTAGCGATGGACCACTACGGCCACTTTGTATACAAACTGCCTGATGCCAGCAGGAAGCGGCCGGGGCGCTTATTTGATCTCTTTATGTATTTAAATGATTATGTGTTAATGCCTATGTAAAGCACTTTGAATTCCCTCTGTGTCTGAAATGTGCTTTATTAATAAACTAACTTTAATCTTACAACAAAAGTAGTCGGTATGAAGTGAAGGCAACGCCAATGTATGCATCTGTCTCTGTTTCAGGGTCCAGCAGCAGAGACCAGACTCTCCCAGCTGTCTGTCCCTAAAGAGCGACTGGTCGATGGAAGACTTCTTCGACTTTAAAGGACGACCTCCATCTGCTGATCAGAAGTAAGCTGTAACTCATAGTAAGAGTCCGGTTATGATAGAATAAAACCAGTTTGTATAAAGTGTTGTCCGACCCCTCCTCATGTCCAAAGTGTTTAGTTGTGAACGTCCACACTGGGAGGGGCAGTGAAACTCCATCTGAAAACTCAGGCTGTCCCTAGCAATGGACCACTACGGCCACTTTGTATACAAATTGCCTGATGCCGGCAGGAAGTGGCCGGGGCGCTGCACCAACACGCTTTTGGCTGTTGGGGGTGCTACGTGCATCGGGCCCCGTACGCTTCAAGTACCCCGAGTCCACTTCGTGGGACCCCTTATTGGGGGCTAAAGGCCCATTCTGCCCAAAACTCCCACTTCGCCCCAAAATGCCATAACTCAAGGCCGGTTTCGCCCAAAAGTCCCGGAAATGGCTGGGCGCTCCTAAAACACCCAGACCCAGAGGGGTCCAAAGCAGGTGTGCATGGCCCCCAAACGTTGTGGGTGTGATCCAGAGGACCCAATGTGTCCAGTGTTCGAATTACCCATTTGCTTTCGGGGGAGCCCTATTTTTTTGTGCACATCCTGCTACTAAACATGTCACACGCACGCTCTGTTGACTGGCGCAGCAGCGCGGATGCGATCAATTGCTATAAAAACACTCTGCTACTACTACAGACGGTATTACTGCCAAAGCACAATAACATTTCAGAGAGAATGAATAACAACATGAGGCTACCGTTTCAAAACCAATTGATAGCCATTAGCCAACATTTATTTAATTGCAACAAACAAAGCAACGACATCAGCTGCTGTTGGGGACACATGGCAACGTTTCTCAGATGTGTATATTGTTGAGAACACGGCGTGCAAAAGTATACGGGTCGTGCTGCAGCTAGATTTTCCTGTCCTCTGTTAGAAGGTGTCGGCGACAGACGTGTGAGGAAGAACGGCTTTCCACAGGCTGTTCCAATTGAACTACTTTATTGATTGTCCAGGGTAGTGAATGGTACATGCAATGGTAATTGGATGGGTGTGGTATCTGTAATATAAAGATAAACAGGTATGAATAAACATGTATTATAGAGGGATAATGACCAGTGACATTGTTACACAGTAAATCAGGTAGATAAAGAAATGGCACAATTAGCTGGCCTATGCTGCCCTCTATTGGCCAAAGGCCGCAACAGAATGGCGATAGAAGTGACACGTTATTACATAAAGTAATGAACTATTATAAACAATCATGCATGAACAACATACAGGAATGCACACAATGAAGTCTCTATAATGACTACAATATAAAGAACACTGCATACATTGGCCCCTGCATCAACTTGGCGTTCATTATGCAGTGTGAGGGAGCGTGCCTGGTGGCCCCTCGTGCTGTCCCATAGTGCAGTGTGAGGGAGCGTGCCTGGTGGCACCTCGTGCTGTCCCATAGTCAGCATGGCAAAGTTAGCGGCTATTGCTAACTGCCTTCTATTGCAGAGTAAGCTCTGTATTATGAACATTAACCCACAAATAACAGAACTAGGCAAGAATATATGCACTTACATTTTCATGCACGCACACGCATGTCCACAACACACAAAGTTAACAACAATCTCAATTGTCCGATGCTACTATTGTCCGTGCAATCCTGTTACGTCAACAAGTGCGTGCGTGTGTGCGTGCGTGCGTGCGTATCACACAACCAACAAATATATCAACAGTAGGACTGGGGCCAGTCCAAACAAACACAAAGCTCAAACAGTCAAATGGACTCTCTTACCTTACTGTAAAAGCGACCACAGGGACCTGGGCGGCTTCTTCTTCGCTTTCGGTCCCTGAACCCATGATGTGGAGGGTTTGTGGCCAGCTTTGATCCAAGACCGTACAAATGGCTGAGGGTCGAATTGCTCCGGGGGGGGGGGGGCATTGATGTCTACGAAGAGAAGCGAGAAGAGGCTCTTCTCCCGCAACTTGTTGCGTTTGTCGGTGTCGGTCGAATTGACGGCAGAAAACCCACTCTCACACTCAGCTGATGGAGGCAGAAAGGTCTTGCTCGCTGTCTGCAGTTTTTGCAGGGCTTTCCCTGGAGATTTATTCTCTAATTTGTAGTCCCCAAACTCCTCAATGGCCTCTCGGGCCGGTTCCCCCAGTACTTTTGCCAGTGTGCGTACTTCATTCTCCCCATAGAGGATCAGGGCGCTCCGTTGTTCGGGCCAAAAGCGCTTGTCCAGTGGTTTTAGCATGCGGACCAGGTCCGGTTCAGGCAGTCTTCAAACTGTCTATTATAGACTGGTAAAACTGCAGACGGTTTATCTTGGGCCTGCTCTCTGAGAGCTCAACATCCTTGAACATGCCAGTAGCAATGCCTTCTTCCACTTTTTGTGTGGACTTTCCGCCACTGATTTCCATAGCTGTCAACACATCGATGGTCTGCTGAATGTAGCAACTTGCATCGACCAAAGATGTTTCTCTGCGTTGCAGTTTTAGCGACAGGCTTTTAAGTTCTCGAAGAACATCCTTCATTGTTGCCAAATCAGCCAGAAATCCAGCGCTCGTGAGGAGTTTGTGCAGTCCCCTGAATTTCTGTCTCTCTGTGTCACTGCGAGATGATGTGTCGTCTGTTGCTGTTTTGAATTGGCGTGCCAGTGCGGGATAATCTTTCCAGACAGCTTTCACAGTCTGAAAACTACTAGCCACCCAACGAAGAGTGAAAATGTGGCCTATTTTCAATATTTGCACGTTTAATTCTGCTGCTGCTTCTTGGAGCAAATGGGCATGTTTTGATGACTGGTGAGAGAGCATACAGTTTTGCAACAAAAAACTCAAATTGATTACACCCAGCTACTTCTTTAAGGCAATCCTTGACAGCCAATTCTAGTCGGTGGGCTAGACAGTGAATAGACTGCACTTTGGGGAAATCCTGTTTGAGTTTTGTCACAAGTCCCCCAACTCTGCCTGTGAGTACTGCTGCTCCATCCGTTGCTATTGAGGTTTTTCCCCAAGAACTCGTCATCCAGTCCAGCTTGTTTGAAGCTTTTCCTCAAACTTCTGTACAGCGAGTTAGCATCCGTACCTTCTGAAAGCTCAACAATATCCAAGAAAACATTGTCCACTTCCCCTTTTCCTGTCATGTCACATCGGACGTAAATAATCATGTAGGCCCGCCCATGAACTGTGCTCATCTATTGTGATGCTAATTAGTGAGCCCATGTCTTTTACGTTGGAAACAAATGTAGCTCTCATTTCCTCGGCGATATGCCTGATTATTTCAGCACAAGCATGGTCCGATTTGTGCACAGTCCCTACGGTAGCACCATTGAGTTTTTGTAGGAACATTACAGCAGGTAGCTTTCTGTAGGACATTTCTTCTTTGGCAATCATATAGGCAGATCTGAACGATGTGTGTTTCCTGCATTAGATCAGCATTGATTGCTAATACCTTGTTTGGTAGGACATCTTTCTCATCTCCGAAATCTCGATCTCTTTTTCGTGTGCCTGGCTCTTATGGTGCTTATAGATCTTTTTTCGCAGGTTATTTAGTTGATCACAGCTGACTTTTCCCTGAATGCATTCTGGTGAAAGGTGCACTCCGCTGGATTTTTCTGCAAGCGGCAAGGAGATCAATATAGTTTTTGCCTCTTTGCAAATCTCACATCCACATTTTTTATTTGTTATGAAAAGCCATGGATACTTTTCTTTCCACTCACTCCATCTTTTCAGTGTCCAGTTAAAAGGCAGGCCGTCATGGGCATCGCCAGCGCCAGGTTCGCTAGTGCAGGTGGAACCGGAGGCTGTCGCCGTTGTTGAAGCCTCTTCTGAAGCCTCTTCTGAAGCCTCTTCTGAAGCCTCTTCTGAAGCCTCTTCTGGAGCCTCTTCTGAAGCCTCTTCTGAAGCCTCTTCTGAAGCCTCTTCTGGAGCCTCTTCTGAAGCCTCTTCTGAAGCCTCTTCTGAAGCCTCTTCTGAAGCCTCTTCTGGAGCCTCTTCTGAAGCCTCTGCTGAAGCCTCTTCTGAAGCCTCTTCTGAAGCCTCTTCTGAAGCCTCTTCTGGAGCCTCTTCTGAAGCCTCTTCTGAAGCCTCTTCTGAAGCCTCTTCTGAAGCCTCTTCTGAAGCCTCTTCTGGAGCCTCTTCTGAAGCCTCTTCTGAAGCCTCTTCTGAAGCCTCTTCTGGCTCTGCATCGGCAGGCCTTTCCCTCGGTGTGGAGCTGTCACAATCGACCCTAACGCCGCTGACAGCTGGCGAACTAAAAGTTGTTTGGTTGACATTTTCATTTTTAGACTCCTTTGCTTCTTTACTTGTGAAACCAAAAGCTGCGACGCTTGGCTGTTTTCGTTTCGCCATTTTCTTTATTACAAAGCCAATTTGTTGTTGTTAAACAATATCAATATGAACATTTCAAATACCGCGCCGGCGCCACCGTAACCATAGCAACGTAAGTAGCGTAAAGAATGCAGCACCGCCACGTACAGATGGCAACACACAGAAATATTCACAAATGTAAAACGAATATTCAGAAACTGTAATGAACAATGACTTTAATTTATTTCAAGAACTTTTATTTACAGAAACTCAACATTTCTAATCTGTGTGACACAAATATGCACAATTTCTTTGGGCTCCCCCTATTTATCTCAAAGTCGGCCTTCGGGGGAGCTCCCCCCATTTCAACACTGAATGTGTCCCTGGACCAAGTTTGTCGGCCATGCAAGACTTCTTGAATTTTTTAATTGTCCAATTCACTCAATTTTCACACCAATAAATCATAGGGTGGCCAAGATAGCACAGTCCAGGTGTCACCTCCCCTGTCTCAATGCATTGTTGAGATACAGTACTCTACACTTCAAATACCCGAGACAATGCAGTTATGTATTTGAAATGTACAGGCTCATGTCTCCCAAATGCCAAGGGATACATGCACGTGACTTTAGGTGAGTCACGGGTGTAAAGCACTTTGAATTCCCTCTGTGTCTGAAATGTGCTTTATTAATAAACTAACTTTAATCTTACAACAAAAGTAGTCGGTATGAAGTGAAGGCAACACCAATGTTTGCATCTGTTTCTGTTTCAGGGTCCAGCAGCAGAGACCAGACTCTCCCAGCTGTCTGTCCCTAAAGAGCGACTCCTCGAAGGACGCCTACATGAACTTTAAAGGACGACCTCCATCTGCTGATCAGAGGTAAGCTGTAACTCATAGTAAGAGTCCGGTTATGATAGGATAAAACCAGTTTGTATAAAGTGTTGTCCGACCCGGTGCTGGAGGTGGAGCTGGGGGGGGGGGGAGTAACGGGGGCTGGTGTAAGAACTGTCCCTTGGTCTTTCCTTTCCTGATGAACAGCTGTTAGCCAGCTGCAGAGTCCAGTGTCTATCCACACAGCCACGTTTCAGGAAGACCAGAATGAAGGATGGACAGAATCCTCTGGTCTTCAACAGTAGCTGGAAATAAATACAGTGATGGAAATAATTATTTGATTCCTTGCAGGTTTTGTAAGTTTGCCCTCTTACAAAGAAATGAACTGTCAAGTTCTTCTGGGTTTTGGCCTGTATTCAGTGTTATGCCCAAACGTGAGAGGCTGGAGGGCGACAGAGGACAGAGGACAGAGGACAGAGGACAGAGGACGCTTGGACAACTCTGATTCTTTCTTTTTCTCTTTATTTTCTGCTCAGCAGTTATTTATATGCCACTTTTCATCAGATTCTCATCAGGTTGAAAACCTTCAAACACAGAGGACAAACAAATGTTAGTTCACATGCATTCATATGTTTAATAACAGCTCGCTTATTAAGAAAAGTAGCCTACGCTATTCAAAATGAAACGAATACCCCTCCTGGTATTGAACAATACTATAATAATAATAATAATCTAAACGAAAAAACATACAAATAATTATTTATCCGTCCGTTTTTATCAGATATTATTATTTTTCTTTCAATATTGACTTTCGTCTCGACACTTGAGCTCCTGGTTTCTAACCCAAGGAGCTCACACCAGTTCTTCACCTTACGCCTCTTCTTCACCACCTGCTGTTCTTCAACAGGAAGTAAGATAACAAGGCGCCTGACATCCCTATGAAGAACTGTGGCAGGGATCTTGCTTGGCTGTCCCTTGTACCCTCCATAGACTTCATGCTTCATAGCTGGGACCAAGTAACTGGGAAAGGTTCTCACATCTACATCCCTTACGATGCCTTCTCCATCAGTATTTACACTGACCACTCTTGCCAGTTTGTAATGTCCTCTCAGGGCATTTTGGTCAGCCAGCCACACCACATCTCCCACTGCGACATCTCGATTCCTGGTGTGCCATATTACTTCCAACTTTGATTCTGCCCTAGGCTGGTCCTTAATCTCCAGCCACTTTCTTGCAGCTCTCCACACCCAAGCTATGACCCTGACACGTTTTTGAAGGCTGCTGAATCTTTTCACCTCCACAGGATCCTTCACTGTCTCTCCTGTGAGATTCCTGGTAGGAGTCTGATCGGCTCTAGGTTTCTCCCATTGGCTCTTCCTTTTGATGTTTTTCTGTGGGTCTTGTAGGCCATCTCTTTGGTTTCTTCCAGCTTCTGCTCTGGTCATTACTGCTGAGTACACCTTCCTGACAAGGATGGCCCCCTCCTGTTTGGCAGGTGTAACTAAGCCAATTGGTTCGTAAAGTCCAGCCACTTGCCTCAGCTCCCATCTACTCAGTGGATCAGGCATCTCAGGTCTCACTTGCTCTAGGAGGAGACCTCTGCCCACTCTTATCTTCTTTTTCCTCTTGATTGACAACATGTAGATCTCCTCTTTCTCCACTTTGTACCTGATTCCCAGGGCTTTGTTGTCCTCCTCTCTCATCTGATTTAGAAGGATGAGAGTTTTACTTCCAGCTGTTGCTTTTCCTCCTCCCAGGAGTGCTGTTGCAGTTTCTTGCCTCCCACTTTGACCAGACCGGACCCATGGTTTAAGGAAGAAGCCACCAGCTCTCAGGATTTCCTCCACTCCTTCTGTAATCCTCTCCAGTTGTTCTTGACTGTTATGGGAGGTTAAGAGGTCGTCCACATAGCTGTCCTCTTCAAGAACTCTGCGTTCCTCTTTCATGTGGGAAAACATGGGCAGACTGGCTGTTTCTCGCATAGCCACCTGTGCAATGCAACCGGCTGGTCTGTCCCCAATGTTGACTCTTGTGATAGCATACTCACATATCTCTTCTTCTGGACTGTCTCTCCAGAGGAATCTGTGCATATGCATCTCACGCTCCTCCAGCCACACTGAGTTGTACATTTTCTTTATGTCTCCCAGAGCTGCATGCACACCTCTTCTGAACCTGCAACAACCTTCACTCTTTGTGGAGCAAGTCTTCCTTCCCTGTGGCTTATGAGGAGCTCGACTTCTTCTGGCCTCTTTTATTCTTCGGGCTTGACCTCTGGGAAGAACTTGTGCAGTTTTTCAGGACTGATGACTTTATGCACTTTGGCGATCTCCTCTAGGCCATAGCAGACAAGTTCATGTGCCTTCTCTGTCCCTTTAGGAGTCTTGACTCTCACCCTAAGGAGGTATCTTTTTGTGTTCACCTTGATGGTCATTCCTCCTACCCCATACACAACCAGAGTAATTTGTTCACCTTGCAACCTCAGCCTGTCAGCAGCCTTATGGGTGATGTCATTTGTGACTGAGGCAAGGTCCACCAGAGTCCCAATCTTCTGCCCTGCATTTGCAGTGACCTCCATCAGCATGATGATGACAGGAATTTCCCTGTCCACCAGCCTTGACTGTCCTCCAGCTCTGCCTGTTACTGCTGTTTGGTTGGTAAAGGCTTTCCTGCACCTTCCTGCACGCTCTGGGGAAAGCTCAGCCAAGAATTTCTCCTGCTCCTCTGTGAGTTTGCTCTTACTTCTCCAGTCTCTTCCACTCCTCTCCTCAAAGGGCATTTTGCTTCCCCCTTGTGGACACAGAAAGAAATGGTGATCTGAGGTGTCTCCTTTTTTACAGTCTTTGTTTCTGCACAGGTAATTGTCTCTGCAATATCCTCCTTCCTCATGACATCCAAGACACTTTCTGCATGCTCCTAGCTTTTTTAGAACAGCTTTCTTCTCAAACAGAGTTAGCCCTTTGAACTTCCTGCAGAAGAATATCTTGTCATAATGCCTCTCATCTCCACACACAATACACACTCCTCCATGCTCGCCCTTCTTTGCAGATCTTGTTGAAGCATATTTCTTCTCATACCTCCTGTCTGGATGGTCTTGTCTGTCAGTTTTATCACCGATCCTTAGCTGTTCCAGCCTCTCCAGAATCTCTTCCTGCTTTTTTAGAAATCTAAGGAGCATGTCGAAGTGATTGTCTGGTGTGACGTTATTGTTTGGATCAACCATGAAGACTAGCCAATCCCTCTTCACAAAGTCAGGTAACTTGCTCTCTATGGATTTGATCATGAGTGGGTTCTTCATGGCGCCTGAGTTTCCCAGCTCTGTGAGGTCTGCAAGGGCTTTTTCCACATGCTGTATCAGCTCAATTACCTTCCTTGGCTGGTTTCCTTTCACATAAGGGATTCTCTCCAGTTCTTCCAAGATTTCTATGGCAATAGTTGACTTATTTCTATATCTGTTGTCCATTATCCTGAACATGTCTTCAGCAGTGTTGTAGGTTGAGAGTCTTAGTTCCTTTAAAATCTTGTCATCCACACTGTCTAGAAGATTAATTTTCTTAGCTTCAGAAGATCCAGATGGCTCCCCCTGTCTTTGCAGGCTTTCCCAGTCTTTCCTCCATCGGTGGTATTCTCTTCTGCAGCCATAGAAGATGGGAAGACTTGTGGGCTTAATCCTCAGGACTGGTAATGCTGGTGATGGCAGTCCTCCCCTTCTACCTGACGCTTCTGCAGCCAGTTCTTCCGCTGCAATCTTGCGTGAGTTGACAAATTCAACTTGCCTCATCTCAAGTCTATTTTTCATTGCTTTGAGGTCCTTGACTCTGCCATCTAGATCCGTCTTCGCCATCATGGGTATCCAGCGCTCCCAAGCTGCCATCACTCTGGTGGCCTCCTTCATCCGCCTCTCTAGAAGGGTCAGGAGCACCCCGTAGCCTTCCAGGTTGGTTCCTTCCACAGGCACATTCCCAGCTTGTTCACTGGCTTCTTCTGCTTCCTCAATTGCAGTGATGAGCTCATATTGGCCATATCTCAAATCAAATCAAATCAAGTTTTATTTATATAGCACATTTATGAACGATTTTTGGTCGAGCCAAAGTGCTGTACAAATAATAAAAATACCCTACAGTAAAGACACTTTACAGCAAATACAACAGCACAGTTTGTTCAGAATATCAGTATGAGAAAAAACGACACCCTCTGTCCTTAGACCCTCTGTCCTTAGACCCTCTGTCCTTAGACCCTCACATCGTACAAGGAAACACTTCCAGAGAAAAACCCACAGTTTAAAGGAACATGGAGAAACCTCAGGGAGAGCAACAGAGGAGGGATCCCTCTCCCAGAACAGACAGACGTGCAATAGATGCCGTGTGTAAATCGAAGAGATAATACATTTTACAGCGTAGGTAGACCGAATGTTTGGAAATGCATGTGTCTATAATAAGAAGATGAATCCACGAAGATGTCAACAACAATCCTGTGGGGAGCCTTCAGGGAAGTAGCATGACGAGACCCAGGCAGGACCGCAGAGACAGGTTCAGCCACGACCCGAAGTCCACGACTTAATCCAGAACTCAAACCTGTTTCCCTCTAATAAAACCTCGAGAGGTCAGAGAGGGAAAAGGTTTTGGATAAAGAGAGGATAGAAAGAATCGATTACAGGAATAGAGAGTATGAGAAGTAGAGAGAGACAAGATTTAGAAGAATGAGTAGTAGTAATAACCTTAGTTTTCAATATACGATCCAAGTTTTTAGGATTTAAGTGAAAGAGCAACGACCCAAATATAGGTGAAGATGCACAGCGTACCTACGTCAATGCAGTCTTATTAGATTATTATATCAGCTATAAGCTTTATCAAAAAGGAAGGTCGTAAGCGTACCAATAAAACAGAAAGGCTGTCGGCCGCCCGAACACAAACCGGAAGCCGAATTCCACAAAAGTGGAGCTTGATAAGAAAAGGCTAGAAGGCCAGAGAGAAGAAGTGAGTTTTAAGTGTCGAATGCTACGAATGCTCGGTGCCCTCTGGTTTTGAGCCTGGTCTTGGGCACTATCAACAGCAGCTGATCAGCCGACCTTAAGGCTCTGGCTGGGGTGTAGCGAGGAGTTCTGCTATATAGGCCGGAGCCAGCCCATTTAGTGCTTTGAAAACAAATAAAAGGAGTTTAAAATCTATTCTGAACCGAACTGGAAGCCAGTGCAGTGAGGCCAGAATTGGGGTGATGTGGCCACGCTTTCTATGGCCAGTGAGAAGACGTGCAGCGTTCTGAACTAGCTGCCGGCGTCTAATTGAGGCCTGGTCCATACCCACGTACAGAGCATTGCAGTAATCCAGTCTTGAGGTAACAAAGGCGTTAATAACCCTTTCTAGGTCTTTAACCTGAGCCAGTTTTTCAGGTCTCAGGCTCGAAAATGACATTCCCAGAACAAATGACCATATCTTCACTTCTAAAAGGGTTAAATTAATAATCTTTGTTCTCAAAGTAATGATAAACCTGTGAGCTGGATGTAGAAAAGTCAGAATCAATATAGATGTTTTTTATTTTAAAGAAAATTCAGATTGTACATAGTAAAAAACTGTAAATTATAGTGTCCGTCCAAATATTCTTTTTTACTTATAGTGAACACCACCCTAGGATGATGGGTTAGTAGACTAAAAGCTTTAGGAATCCAAAGTACAACATATAATAAGTACCCTGTATCAAGATTGATACAAAACAAGTGACATTTGACCTTTTTAGAGAGGTTTAGCCAAACCACCCCACCTCTGAGGTGATTTGGGTGGATTTTCCATATCTCTGGCCCCCATTGGTCGATTTTGATGGTTGACACCTCTTTCTGACCGTTAGAGCCAATAGAATCGAAGGGGGAGTCCCCCACACACACTCATTGTGAAACAAAAAGGTGGGGGCTTTGCGCATGTAATTTTGCATTAGAGTGAAGCTACACTCTAGCTCTGACATCTGGAAACGGAAAAGCATGGATTATCCGTCTGTTTGCTCATGGATTATCAGAAATCATTTCAAAGGGACACAGACACATTAGATTAACCTATGGATTAACTTCAGCAGCGTTTTTATTGTTTTAATGCCATTGAAGACCACTTTGGAGAGACTACAGAGCCAAGGTAACCATGTTAGCATTTTTAGCTACCTAGCGTCAAATGTTTTGATGTCTGTTTTTGCTTATAACGTCGCGATTTCATTGGGAATACATTGCAATCAGTTGAAAGCTCTTTGTGTCCATTTATGAAGCTGAAGGAGCCTCGGCGCGTCTCAACTGCACGCCTCGTGTATTCCTGTAGTGCAAAGTTCCCGCTGACGCACAGGACCACCAGCCTGTTCCCCTGTCCTCCTTCACCCTGAGTGTGTCTCTGTGTGGACAGACATAATGTGAGCTAATGCTTCATGATTCCTCCACAGAGGGGACCAGGAGAGCTCGGAGGTTCCCGGTGGTCCGTCTGCCCAGCAGCATCAGACACAGCTGGACTCCATATTTACGGTGAGTACATGTACTACAGATACTTGACCTCTCTTCTGCTCACAGTCATCTCCATGCTGCACTTTTAGAGAGTCAGTCTGTCCGGATCTGATGTTTGGATCCATGGTTTATAGTTTGTGTCGTTCATGTGATGTTCCAGCTGCTGGAGGACCACATCGTCACCTTTGTGAAGAGCGAGCTGAAGAAGATCCAGAAGGCTCTGAGTTCAGATTACCCAGAAGGCTTAGAGAGTCAGAGTGATGATGAGGAGGTGTTGGAGGCTGAGGATGAAGAGCAGAGGAGGAGCAGAGAGGCATTTGTGAACATCACACTGCACTTCCTGAGGAGCATGAAGCAGGAGGAGCTGGCTGACCGTCTGCACCGCAGTAAGAGGGTTTCTATAGAGATTTAACACTCTGGATAAATGTCTCATCTGCTGATGTCTCTAGAGACCAACATATATCCATATTTATTCAGAGAACCAGAGTTACAGTGAGACCACATGATCTTTTGTTGTGTGTACTTTCAGAAACCTTTGCTGCAGTCTGTCAGCGTAAACTTAAATCCACCCTGAAGGAGAGGTTCCAGTGTGTGTTTGAGGGCATTGCTAAAGCAGGAAGCCCAACCCTTCTGAACCAGATCTACACAGAGCTCTACATCACAGAGGGGGGGTCTGCAGAGGTCAATGCTGAACATGAGGTCAGACAGATTGAAACAGCATCCAGGAAACCAGACAGACCAGAAACAACCATCAGACAAGAAGACCTCTTTAAAGCCTCACCTGGAAGAGATGCACCAATCAGAGCAGTGATGACAAAGGGCGTGGCTGGCATTGGGAAAACAGTCTTAACACAGAAGTTCACTCTGGACTGGGCTGAAGGCAAAGCCAACCAGGACATCCAGTTCATATTTCCATTCACCTTCAGAGAGCTGAATGTGGTGAGAGAGAACAAGTACAGCTTGGTGGAACTTGTTCATCACTTCTTCACTGAAACCAGAGACCGCAGGAATCTGCAGGTTTGATCAGTTCCCCGGTTGTGTTCATCTTTGACGGTCTGGATGAGTGTCGACTTCCTCTGGACTTCCACAACACTGAGATCCTGACTGATGTCACAGAGTCCACCTCAGTGGATGTGCTGCTGACAAACCTCATCAGGGGGAAGCTGCTTCCCTCTGCTCGCCTCTGGATAACCACACGACCTGCAGCAGCCAATCAGATCCCTCCTGAGTGTGTGGACATGGTGACAGAGGTCCGAGGGTTCACTGACCCACAGAAGGAGGAGTACTTCAGGAAGAGATTCACAGATCAGGAGCAGGCCGGCACCATCATCTCCCACATCAAGACCTCACGAAGCCTCCACATCATGTGCCACATCCCAGTCTTCTGCTGGATCTCTGCTACAGTTCTGGAGGACATGTTGAAAACTGAGGGAGGAGAGCTGCCCAAGACCCTGACTGAGATGTACATCCACTTCCTGGTGGTTCAGTCCAAAGTGAAGAACATCAAGTATGATGGAGGAGCTGAGACAGATCACCACTGGAGTCCAGAGAGCAGGAAGATGATGGAGTCTCTGGGGAAACTGGCTTTTGAGCAGCTGCAGAAAGGCAACCTGATCTTCTATGAGTCTGACCTGACAGAGTGTGGCATCGATATCAGAGCAGCCTCAGTGTACTCAGGAGTGTTCACAGAGGTCTTTAGAGAGGAGAGAGGACTGTACCAGAAGGACAAGGTGTTCTGCTTCGTCCATCTGAGCGTTCAGGAGTTTCTGGCTGCTCTTCATGTCCATCTGACCTTCATCAACTCTGGAGTCAACCTGCTGGCAGAAGAACCAGCAACCTCCCAGAAGTCTGAAGTCAAACCTGAACTAACACATCTCTACCAGAGTGCTGTGGACCAGGCCTTACAGAGTCCAAACGGACACCTGGACTTGTTCCTGCGCTTCCTCCTGGGTCTTTCTCTGCAGACCAATCAGAAACTCCTACGAGGCCTGCTGACACAGACAGGAAGTGGCTCAGAGACCAACCAGGAAACAGTCCAGTACATCAAGAAGAATAGAAGAGGATCTGTCTGCAGAGAGAAGCATCAACCTGTTCCACTGTCTGAATGAACTGAATGATCGTTCTCTAGTGGAGGAGATCCAACAGTCCCTGAGTCAGGAAGTCTCTCCACAGATAACTGTCTCCTGCTCAGTGGTCAGCTCTGGTCTTCATCTTACTGTCATCAGGAGAAGATCTGGATGTTTGACCTGAAGAAATACTCTGCTTCAGAGGAGGCTCTTCTGAGGCTGCTGCCAGTGGTCAAAGCCTCCAACAAAGCTCTGTAAGTACAGATATTTGATTTAGTGAATCAGTTATTAATACACTGCTGTCTCCTGAATAACTGTTGTCCTCATCGTCTCTTCAGGCTGAGTGGCTGTAACCTGTCAGAGAGAAGCTGTGCAGCTCTGTCCTCAGTCCTCAGCTCCCAGTCCTCCAGTCTGAGAGATCTGGACCTGAGTAACAACGACCTGCAGGATTCAGGAGTGAAGAAGCTGTCTGCTGGACTGGAGAGTCCACACTGTGAACTGAAGACTCTCAGGTCAGAGCAAAGTACAGTTTGACTTCGGCAGCAGTAATAGTCAATACCAACATCAGCAATGCTGTTGTGGTGTGGGATCACCATCATGGATATTATCATTGTAGTGAAACAAGACACAATTCACAAAATGATAATTAGCACAGACTTCTTTAAAGCCTCTACAAAGAGCTTCATTGTTGTTGATTTGGCACAAGTGTTAGACCTACAGCACTCATTTGGGTAGTTTCAGCCGAGCACCTCCTAGTCTGAGGCCGAGGTGGATTGCTCCATCCGTGTTGGCTGGGAGTTTCGGCCCAAGCGAGGAACTTCAATAATCTCAGGGTCTCATTAACGAGTGAGGGTCAAATGAAGCGTTAGATCAGGGGTCTCAAACTCGAGGCCCGGGGGCCAAATCCGGCCTGCGACTTCATTTTATGTGGCCCCGCAAGAGCTTGCAAAGAATATAATACGTTTATTATACGGTTACATGCCACTTTACAGAAGCAGGTTGCCCATAAACTACATGTCCCACAATGCATCTCGTTTTGTGACATGCGCACTGAAGAGTCTTGCAATTATTTGCCCTGGACTTCTGCTTTCAGACGTAGTTAATTACTAAGTTATTATCCTATCCGATAATAATCCAATTCAGAGACAATAATGTAATATAATGAATTATTTTATATATATAATATATTTATATAGTTACAACCTGCCCTTTGAGTGCAACTTTATGCGAATGTGGCCCGCGATGAAATTGAGTTTGACACCCCTTGTTAGTCTTACCAGGGGCACGAGGTTCTGGAGGGTGTGAATATCTGGGTATAGTCTGTGGGGGAGTGCTTAACTGCGGGGGCCGGGGACTCATGGTGTGCAAGGTTATGGAGGAGTGCCCCTGTTAGGGACTCATGCTGGAGGTCTCTAGTCCGTCCTTTGGGGTCTGTGAGCCGCCACATAGAGCCTGCATTTAAACAGATTCACCAGTTTATAACATTACTTTAGCCCTGATCAGAGC